ATTTTTAATAAATATATTATAAAATATATTAAATAAGATGATATATCAGTGATTATTTCAAAAATAATTAATCATGAAAGGCTAGCCTAGTTAGTAAGATAGTTTTCTCAGCTTACTTTTCTTAGCTTACTTTTGATGCCTTTCACCTAACTGATAATGGGATGCATGAATGACATGTGCACACAAGGATGCCGCCTGACCCTACGCAAAAGAAAATTATACTCTTTAGATATAGGAATTCTTAATTAGATAAATACTAGTAATTGGGTATAGTCGCTTTATAACTGAATTAACTTTTACTGTACATTTGGCAGCGCCTGCCATTGCAAAATGGCAGAAATTCCACATATGCAAAATTAAGTTGCAAACACAGAGAATACAAAAGGCAAAATCATGCAGAGAGAAAGAACTCTTAAATGCAGATGGGAAATCAAATCGTGATCAGTTCTAAAGCTTACTAGCTAGCTAGCTGCTAGTATTTGCTCATTGATCGTGGTATTGCTTCTTCTCACCAACTAGTCCCTTCCCTTGCTGATAATTCCAATTAATGAATGTCAAACTGAGCATGAAATTTGGTTGGTTGGAAGATAAAAAGTTACTATCAAAAGAAACGTACAATAACATCGGAAGTGGAGTTTGGTTGGTTTTTACTGGTATGTCTTGGTAATAACTATTGGTATTGGTGCTGCGTTTATTTGGTGATGACTTAATTTTTTATTTTGTAAATGGATTAGAGTATTTTTTATATTTTTATTAATAAAATATTTTAATTTGTTGATAATATATATATATATATAGTCATTGCCGACCAAAAAATGGAACAATTGAGCAGTGTCAAGTTTCTATCGTTGCCTTAATTTGGACATATGGTTTCATAGTTGAGGGGCCTATTTCCGCAAAAAGGAAAAAAAAAAAGGAACAACCAAATGCAAAATGGTATGCCACATTCCTATCAAAAAGTTGTAGCATCGTTCACCACGTCTCTTGCCTAGACGATACGGTTAGATGTACTCACCATTTCCGTTTAATTAGTATTGAAATTTTGAATACTTGAACTAAATACCTAATTAATCAATACCGCACTCAAACTAGATTAATTAATTAAAGAGAGAGAATAAATTCTGTAGAAGATAAAATAGCATTAAAATCTTACTTCTTTTACATTGAGCAATGAAATGACTAACAAAACTATCTAGATTAACATAGTGCATAAACCCTCTTTACAGAGTGTATTTAAGATTAATTAGAGAAAAATTAACTTTTAAATATATAAAAATTAAAAAAAA